GGATTAAATGCCACGTATTTTCTGAGTGAAAATGATTTCTGACTTTATAAACAGCTTGGAGTAAACACATTTTAAAATATTACAATCTGTATATTTGCTCAGAGCAAATACACAGCCTGTTATTTTTTCTCTGTTTGCAGAGGCACTGTGAGATGGTAACATGCAAGTTTTTTGCCTTTCATATAAACATAAAATGGTTTGGGCTGGAAGAGACATTAAAGATGATTTAGTTGCAACCCCCCCTACCATGGGCAGGGACACCTTCCACTAGACCAGGTTGTTCAAAGCCCCATCCAGCTTTTTATTTATCATTTCTTGTTATCTGAAGGGTAATATCCAAGAAGGGGTTTAAATTATACCTGTGCCTCTTGAATTCATAGTTTGTCCCTCTCTAGTTTTTATCCCAGGCTTCCCACCAGATGGGCTGCAGCCCACCCCTCAGAGATGCTGTTACTCAGAAGGCCACAAAGAGACACACCAAGCTCTTAGGGAGCCAAGGTCTCTTCTGCAGCACAGAGCAAAAGCCTGGTGAGCTGCTCCTGTAATCTCTTTACCCAGATTTTGGGAAGCTGGATGCTTCCAGCCAGTCCTGGTGGAGCCGAGTCATTGCCTTTGGAGGGGGGGAGCCTGAACAATGGTGTGAGAAGTTTGCAGTCAGAATGCCTGCTCCAAAGCTCTTTGTAGTGGGGACTCTTGAGCTGGCTTTGATACTGTCCTGGAGCAAGAGCTGCCATTTAATCACTGCTGAATTAGAAGACCATCTGAGGTCTTTGTAAGGGTGGTTGTTGCTTCTCCTGGGCAGGGAGCTGCTCACCCCGGGGGATGGATTGGTCACTGAGAGCTGCCAAATTGTGTTTCAAGACAAAGGGGCAAACCAACCAGACCCCGAGCCTGCCAAGATGATGTTGCAAAATGCAGGCTGTGGTTTGGAGTGTGCTTCCCTGCGAGCCCCAGTGCTCCTTTTGCTGCGTGTACCCATTAAAGCTGCTCTGGTGTGAACACATTTGAACTCTGATTTAAAAGGCGTTCTTTGAAACAAGCAAACAAACAGAACCCAGCCGACACCCAGGCCTGTGAATGCTGCATCTGAGCACGGAGCCATTCACACAGAGCATTTCCTAGAAGAGAGCTTTCTGCCTCTCTCCCAGCCTAATAGCATCAGCTAAATCACATCCAGCACAGACTGCTCATAACTGGGCAAATGCCCTCCGGCTTCCACTGACCTCTATTTCTACATGATGGGTAAAAAAAAAAAGGAAAAAAAGAGGTATTTTATGGTCATCCCCTATTTGTATGTGACACTTCACTGAGTGGGCTGGCTTTTCTGGGTGCTGCTTGCTTCCCTCGGCTTCCTGCATTTAATTTAAAAACAGAGAAAAGCATTTGCTGGGGTGGCTAGAGCTGTAGAAATGAGCTGTAGAGGGACTGAATATCTACTATTCAGTCAGTAGATAAACACCTCGGATTGTCAAATAGGTGCCTAACCTGCCTGAAACAATTGGTATTGAAAGTCAAAGGGGTCTTGATGTCTCTGCAGAGGTAACAGGGTAGTGGTAACAGGGACAGCAGCAGGGACAGCAGTGCCCAAGGCATCTCTGGGACACGCTGCTCATCCTCAGGTGCGTGGGCTGTTCGCTTCTTGCCCATTAAAAAGGGAGCTTTTATAAAAGCTATGATAACAAAAAGAGCCAAGCATCCCTCAGCTGTATGTGCTGTAGGAGTGACTCCATGGCACTGACTGCAAACACACCAGCAAAGCTGAAATGAGACATGAACCAGGGCTGTGTTCATGTCCTGCGGATCCTAGAAAAGATACAACTGTAGATGATTGTTTTCTGTTATCCTCACACCCCCTTTAAAAGGTGTACTTTGGTTAACCTCTGTGGGACTGAACATCTGTGACATCAAATGTCTACCAAAGGCTTTTTTTTTGCATCATTTGCAATACAAGAAATGCATTTTCAGCAGTTTTCTACTGCAAGTGTTAGAGCACTGTTATAATTAAAGCAGCAGGAAAAGCTGGAGACAGAAGTCATCAGCTCCGAGTTATGTTAACATAAAAACATAATTCTCTCCAAGTTTTATGAATAGAAAATAATTTTACAGGGCAGTTACATTTGCTAAGCAAGGGCAGCAGCTGCTCCTGGATAAATCATGAGAAGTTTTATTACTGTATGTGGAAGACACTTGAATTACTGAGTGCTTAACCTTTCTGCCGGTGCATGCTTGGAAATCTGCCTGACTTGCACAGCTGGGTTTGACAAATACTCATTTCTTATTGGGGTTTAATTTTTTTTTAATAAAAACCTAACAAATTTTGTCACAGTGTGCAGAATAATTATACTACTGATTCCTTCCAGATATCTGTGATTGGTTAATAGATGCACATGGGCTTAGGCAAAGAAAGCCCTGAGGTGGGAATATTTCAAGGCTGGAAGTCTCAAAGCTCTGATGCTGCTGGGTCCAACAGCATCTGTGTTTCTCAGGCTTCTTAGGGTGCATTAGAGTGTGGAGAATCTTGCTTTTGTGCACACTGAGAAGGTTGAACAGGGAAATTAAATTTGCTGTTGGGATGTAAACCTGAAGCAGTGAGCATTACAGTTAAAAATAAGACCAATGCATGTAATACTGCTATCATGACATTTCATTTCTTCAGTGTAATGCTGATACTGAATAGTTTTCTGGTACTTTGGAGGCAGAAAGTATTTATCCTCTGTGAGTGAAGCCTTCAGAACTGCAGTGAAAAGTGACTTCAGCATGTGCAATTCAACATCATTGAATGGGACCATGACTATAAGTGCCAAACTTCGTGGTTTATGGAAGGCCTCCCACAGCAATCAGCCAACAGGTTGTGCCATACCTCTGCCATGATCTTCAGATTCCCTGTTTAATAAAACTCAGTCTCTTCCCTTCTTGTCCAGGATTGCCAGAATGACTGCAACAGAGTGAGCTTCCCAGCAGTCCAGCACTAAGAAAATATATTCTGAGCAATGAGAAATCATGAGGAAAAAGGTAATGAGGATGGATGTGCCCTAAATTACATGCTGGTTAAATATTTGCAATCAGAGCTGTGTCAAGACTGAGCTCCCTGAGATGCAATCGCGGCATCTACGGGATTTGCATGTTTCATTAAGAAAAAGTAATGACACAACTTCAAAAGCAGCCTAGGAGAGGAAATGTTCTCCACCAACTATTCTAAACCAGAGGCTGCACCCTCAGAACAAAGGCAGAGCAAAGCTCTCAGCCTTCTCTGCTGCACTGGGTTTCACCTGAGTGGAGCTGGCCCTGGGGAGCTTTGGGGGGCTCCAGCAGCCCGTGCCTCGGGGGCACTGCCGGGATGCACAGGGCAGTGCGGCAATGTTTAGTCCCTGTGAATCCTCCTTCTAGCGGCACGAACGCTGTAGGAAAACGCTGTCTAAAGCCCTCTGTCCCTCCTGGCAATCGCTGGGATTTGTAACGCGTTGCTTTTAGGACATAAAGCCAGCTATAGGAAAACCAGGGCGGGGAGCCATGGAGAGGGGTGATGGATGCAGGAGGACCTGGCAGCAGGCAGGCGGGCAGTGGTGCCGGGCGGTCGGGGCTCCGCGTCCCCTTCTGCCCGCAGCCCTCCCGGGAGGGACCCGCTCCGCCTCCGCCGGAGCCCGCAGCACCCCGGAGCCAGCAGGGCGGGCGCCCCAGCCTGTCATTAGTGCCGAGCATCCCCCGGCAGGCTGTTCTCCCGACCCGCGTACTCATGGCGGTGATGCTCGGGGTGCGGGTGCGCACCATTCCTGTTGTGCCTGTTGCACTCGCCAGCCGGGCCCCAGCCCGCTCCTGCTGCCCGCAGGCTGCCCCACGCACCTCGGGGACGCGCCTCGGCCTCCCCTGCCCTGCTCCAGCTGGGAAATAGAATGCAAATCGTGTTTCAGGCTGTCGGGGCTGCGCCGGAGCCCGACGCCTCCGTGCGGCGCAGTCGGGGAGGTTTGGCAGGCGGGAGCGGCGGGGGCTGCCGGCAGCATCCCGGGGATGCGCCGCTCCCTCTTCCCGGGGATGCGCCGCTCCCCCTTCCCGGGGATGCGCCGCTCTCCCTTCCCGGGGATGCTCCGCTCCCCCTTCCCGGGGATGCGCCGCTCCCCCTTCCCGGGGATGCGCCGCTCCCCCTTCCCGGGGATGCGCCGCTCTCCCTTCCCGGGGATGCGCCGCTCTCCCTTCCCGGGGATGCGCCGCTCCCCCTTCCCGGGGATGCGCCGCTCTCCCTTCCCGGGGATGCGCCGCTCTCCCTTCCCGGGGATGCGCCGCTCCCCCTTCCCGGGAATGCGGTTTCTCCCTTCCCGGGATGCGCCGCTCTCCCTTCCCGGGAATGCGGTTTCTCCCTTCCCGGGATGCGCCGCTCCCCCTTCCCGGGGATGCGCCGCTCCCCCTTCCCGGTGAGAGCGAGCGCGACAGAGTGACGGGCGCTGCGGCGCAGAGATGACATCCAGCCCTCTCCAGATGGAAATCCTCTCTCAGGGACAAGGGCAAAGTGATGCCCGGTGTGTCCGTGCACCGGGCAGGAGCCGGCATTGGAAAGGCACCTCCCGAAAAGCCAGCGGGGCCTGCAGAAGGGCACCTTGAAATGGGGGTGCCACGTCTTCCAGATTAAAGAGGTTTGGAAAGCACATCTCTGCGAGGTCTAACTTGAGGACTGACAGGGTGACTGCCAGCTCGAGCTGCAGATGATACTTTCATCTTAACAATCTGAATTGCAAAGCATGTTTTCTTACCATCTCCCTCCCTTTTGTATCCAGCCTGTTTGACGGTTTTTATATAACAAAACCTACTTTAAAATGCTGGGCTCGGGTATTTTTGCTGAAATCAACTTTTTGCCTAAGTGGACTTTGACCCCACAGCAGAAAAATCCCATCATCTGACACAGAACTGCACTCTTCACAATTCTCTGCAAAAAGAAAGACATGTGAAAGCTGTGCCTCCTAAAAAACATTAACCTATATTGTAGCTTAAATAACTGTAACATCCTCTGATTAGGTTTTCTTTAAAGTCACATTTAATGTTAAGATTTTGTCCATTTGCAAATGAAGCGTATTTAATTACTTTAGTACTACCCAACAAGAGCTGACAAGAACCATTTCTCTGGGAAATAAAACTGCAGAGATAAAAATCATATTAAAGCAATTATTTAAATCAATCTGTTTCCTTGGAGCAGTTCATTTTGAGTTACTCATGTTGAAAGCTTCTATCTATAACACAGGAAACATTAGGGCTTCACTGCCTGTAAATGGGTCTGGCTTCCATCCATCCATCCATGCATCCATCCATGCATGCATCCATCCATCCATCCCAAGTGCAAACCAGGATTCCTGTGTATTTTGTGAATTTACTCAATTTCTTACACACATTTGTGAAAAAAAAACAAACAAAAAAACAACAAAACCAAACAACCCAAACCCAACAAAAACAACAACAAAACCCCCCACAACTGCATCATCACTTTTATATATGGTGCATATGAGAATGTCCATGATTTGTGCAGGGATTGCACCTTGGATTCAAACACCAGACTCCTGGCTGCTGTAGAGTCAGTCCTTTGTAGCCTATGGAGCTGCCATGACCTTCAGCAGCTGGAGAGCTGCCCCTGTGCATTTCTAATCCATTTCTGGTGTCCCAGGGCAGGAAAGAAAATGCAATATTTGTTTGTGTCATCATTGTCTACTGGCAGCTTCCACAAGGAACTTTTCAATGGATACACTTGTTTTCTGCTGGGCTCAACAGAAAAGCTTTTTATCCCCCTGGAAGCCTTTCTGGGTATGAGTTATACTATTTAAACACCCTTTTCTTTGCTGCTAATATAAAAAAGCTGTGGGAGATGAAAATACTCAAAATGACACAGCAAAGCAGGGATACGGAACTTGTTTGATAGAGAGCTGAATTGTCCCCACTGAGGAGAGTGCTGGAAACATCTGGGAAAAAAGCAGCAGCACAGGTTGTGGGGTGAGCAGAAGAATCACTTCCATAATTCAGAGGGCAGCAAGCAATGAATTTCTGGGTAAGGAGCCAGATAGCTCAGAAGCAGGCTGAATAGGGCCATAAAAATGACTGGATATCAGGAAAAAAATCTTCCCTGAGAGGAGTGTCCAGCACTAGAACAGGCTGCCCAGGGCAGTGGTGGAGTCACCAAACCTGGAGGGATTTAAAAAATAGATAGATGTGGCACTTGGGGACAGGGTTTAGTGGTGACCTTGGCAGTGTTTGGTGATCTTAGAGGTCTTTTCCAACCTGAATGATCCTGTGATTCTATGATAATTCCAGATTATTTTAGCTGTTGGTGAGGATGATGGTCCTTAAGTCAGGCCACCTTTGGTGCTCTGTCACAGCCATGCAGCCACATCCTCACAGGATCCCTGGCCCAGCACTTTTTCACAATAGTAAATTTATCATTCCTTCTATGAAAGAATAAATGTTTTATTAATGTTCTACTCTCTAATCATAAGGAAGGAGTAGAGAGTCTTAATTAAGTCATTAGCAGCTGTTGTGAGCCTATATTTTGTTCTGTAAACCTGAAAGAATAGATAGGATTAATATTATTAAAAATTTATAACTCCCTTCCCCTATATTTTGTGTATGTTTTAAACTGTGTCAAGAAATCACATGAAGGATATTATTAAAAAACACCAGTTAGGGTGTGGGACCAATTTGATCTGCCCCAGAAAGTGCCAAAGCACCAAATCTGCTGCTCCCCCTCCCAAAATGCCAGCCCCAACCTGAATGCTGTCAGCACCACCCTTGTCAGTCTGCAGAGCCTCAAACATTTCCCTCTGGTGCCACAGGGTATCTAATAGGGAATTTAACCTTGGGGCAGCAGGATGGCTTTTCTTAGCCACCGGAGATTTGTGACCCTTCACAAATTCCTTACAGCAGTCCCTGGGCAGCCAGGACTCTGTAGTAGAAATGATTGACCTGCAACCGAAAGGAAATGTCATAGAAAGGGCAGAGGAGGAGCAAACCTCCAAAGAATTTGGATCTGCCACCAACATTAAGATTTCTCTCTGCTCACTGTATGACTGCCTGAAAAAGCTGGACACAACAGAGCACCACTGTGAGTTAATCCTTTCACATATAAAATCGCTCCATAGCTGCCCACTCAATCACAAGGCAGGAAAACAACAGGTACATTCAGCTTTAATGAAATAATCATCAGTTCTATGTACAGCTATAACAGAGGGAAAACCAGATACAAGAGAGGATGCAAACCCAACCCCTGACACGGAGCAAGTCACAGGGCAGGGCTGGACTAGGCATTTCTGCCATTCTCCTCCTTTTTTGAAGACGTGTTTTGCCTAAAAGGCAATACTGAAATAACACCAAATCCTCCCAAAACAGCTTAGCAGTCTGACAGAGCATGACAGCCTGGCCCTGTGGGGTAATTTTGTGTTTATTTACTAAAGCTTGGACATCCTCCACTGCAGCTGACTCCAGTGGGATCCCACAGCAATGCTGCAGCCCTTTGCTCAGCACCAGCCTGCCACAGTGCCCGGTGTAATCCCATAAGCCTCTCCAAGCATCAGGATGGCTCTTCCCAGGGTGCTGCGACAGCTCCAAAGGTACATCTAAAAGTCCTTTAAAAGTCCCTTTTTCAAAATTATGGCAAAATACCTGGAAGGACCAGTATGAAGTACAAAGCCATTAAAATTGTACACACTGAATTATCAATAGCTGATAACTTAATAAACAAATTCACGGGAAAAAAAAAATACACTTTTTTTTCTTTACCACCCTCTGGGTTTTTTTAAGTTTTACTTGCACAGAGATGAGCTGTGGCTCTTGCTGCTCGCAGTCCCCTCATGACATTAAGGAGATGCTTTATCGAGGTTTAAAACATGTTTGTGCACCAGATACGAGGGACAGCCCTTGTATTTTAGCAGGAATCCAAAGTCTGTGCTGGGAAGGGAGATCTCAGCGCATGGTCAGTGAGCAATTTCCAAGCGCGGCTGCTATTTCTGTGCCGGCTGAGAACACGCAGGAGAATTCTCTCAGAGGAAAACACACTGCTTTGCCCACAGCTGGACACAAATGCCAGCCACGCAGATGCAATCCCATATTATTAAAAGGCCCCTTTCTCCTGGGCAGCTGGTAGCTGGAGGTGATGCTCGCACACTCACCGAGAGGTGCAAACCCCTCGGGGCAGGGCAGTCTCGGGGTCTGACAGCAGTAGGCTTGTCCAGGCATTTTCCAGCCATGTCCTCAGGCCTTCACGGCAGGAATTTTTTTTCCCTGAGGACTTCAGGAAGATTGCTCCAGCATTTCAGTGCATGTTTCAGAGGCAGCTACATGCCAGGTGGCAGCGAGCCGGGAATAATGCACGATTCCCAAAGGATGCCTGGGCTGGATGAAGGCAGGAGGGCTTCTCGGGGAGCCAGCGGCGCTCAGACCAAACCAAAGCCATCCCAGCGCCGGCAGCACATTGCAGCTTCCCAAACTATGCTGACTGCTAACACGCATGCAGCTCACTGCTATTTATATCGCATGCCACGTAGAAAAAAAATATGCTACATCCGAGGAGAGCTTTCAGCAGGAGAGCGGGATGGGGACGGAGGAAGGCGAGGGAGGAGGGGGCTGCCTGCGGCAGGGCTGCTCCCGCCCGAGCTGCCGCAGGGAATTTCGCCCGCTGTGCGAAATTCAATGGTGCGGGAAAGGCGCCCCCGGCAAACCAGGCGCTGTGGCTTTCTCGGCATTCCCGCAGCCCGGGGTCGGCAAGGCGAGGCTGATGCTGAGGTTTGGCGTGTCTGGAGATGCACAGGCTGCTTGCGACAGGGGGACAGGCCGAGTGATGGAGAGAGTGATGCTTCGTGTCACGGCAGTGACCGCGGTTCTCGGTGCCTGTGCGTAGCGAGGATCGGTTCAAAACACAGCCTGGCATTGATGTTTTCTTGTCAATATTGCAGACACTTCGCTCTTCCTCATCTGCAATGAAGCCCCAGCAAGCCTCCAGCTGTTTCAGCGTGCCCCGAACCCAGCCCAGCAGCAGGTCGGGCACTCACCGCCTCTCAGGACCTTTCTTCAAACACATGGTATGTACAGATCGACAGCAGGAACAGCGGGGAAACAGGGCATGGGTGACAGCAGGAATGTGGCCTTGACATAAATGTGCCAATAAATGAAAATACAGTCACTGTAACACCTTAATTTTTCTGCAGCTGTGGTCAGTGGCGCTGTCTGAAGCCCCAGGGGACACGCTGCACTCAGCAGGGTCTGCCCACATCCCGGATCCGTTTCACACAGACACAGCTGAACGGGCATGCAGAATTAGCTACACCTCAGCCCCAGGAGCTCTCCGAGTTCTCCACACACCCCGCAGGCCAAATGGAGCTTGAGATCACTCCTGCTGCCCTTTCTCTCTGGGGCAAGGCTGCCATCACAGAAAGCTGTTGTGTTTATTCTGTTCCAGGGCCATTTCGTTGACCAGCTGCTCTATGGATGACTGAATGGCCGCCTTCACAAGGGAAGAGGCGGTTTCTATGAGGAGCAACTCGTACTGCTCCCCAGTTCTGTGCCCCTGGTCACCCAGACCTTTCTCCTCTGCCTGGGGACCGCCACCAGCCTCGGGGCCCTCTTTTTGACCAACATCAGCGTTCCTGTTTGATTTTTTATTCCCTTTTTGCTTTTTTTGGTGCAAAACCGGGGACGGCTCATAGGCCTGGTCAGAGTCGGTGTTGTCAGAGTCCTCGGCTTCGGTGATGGTGATGATGATGCTGACACCAGTGCCTGCATTTGCTTCTAGTATCTGATGGCTGGAGCATTCCTGCACACCTGCTGCCTCTTGCACGCTTGCTGCATCCTCCACACTTGCTGCCTCCTGCACACTCACTGCCTCCTTCATACCTGCTACATCCTGGGCACTCACTATCTCCTGCACACTCACTGCCTCCTGCACACTTGTGGCATTCTGCATGCTTGCTGTATCTTCCACACTCACTGCTTCCTGCACACTTGCTGCTTCCTGCACACTTGCTGCTTCCTGTGCACTTGCTGCCTCCTGTGCACTTGCTGCCTCCTGTACACTCTCTGCATCCTTCACACTCTCTGCATCCTTCACACTCACTGCATCCTTCAGCACACTCGCTGCCTCCTGCACACTCGCTGCCTCCTGCACACTTGCTGCCTCCTTCATGCTTGCTGCATCCTGCTCCTTCATGGCATCCTGCACACTCGCTGTATCCTGTACACTCTCTGCATCCTGCACACTCCCTGCATCCTTCACTCTTCCTGCATCCTGTTCACTTGTGGCATCCTGCACACTTGCTGCATCCTGTACACTCTCTGCATCCGGTACACTTGTGGCATCTTGCACACTCCCTGCATCCTTCACACTCTCTGCATCCTGCACACTCACTGCATCCTGCACACTTACTGCATCCTGCATGCTCACTGCATCCTGCACACTTGCTGCATCCTGTACACTCACTGCATCCTTCACACTCCCTGCATCCTGTACACTACCTGCATCCTGCAGACTCACTGCATCCTGCATGCTCACTGCATCCTTTACACTCACTGCATCCTGCACACTCCCTGCATCCTGTACACTCCCTGAATCCTTCATACTCTCTGCATCCAGTACACTCCCTGAATCCTTCACACTCCCTGCATCCTGTATACTACCTGCATCCTGCAGACTCACTGCATCCGGCACACTTGCTGCATCCTGCATACTCCCTGCATCCTGTACACTCCCTGAATCCTTCACACTTGCTGCATCCTGCACACTCCCTGCATCCTGTACACTCCCTGCATCCTTCACACTCTCTGCATCCTGTACACTCACTGCATCCTGCATGCTCATTGCATCCTTTACACTCTCTGCATCCTGCACACTCGCTGCATCCTGCACACTACCTGCATCCTGCACACTCACTGCATCACCTCCAGATGCCAGCTCACTGAAACCAGTTACAGTCTCCTCGGCTTTGCACTCCTTAGAAAGATCTATGCTCTTTTCCAATTCATCCCTTTCAGGCACCTCTTTGCAGGTATTAGGGATTTCCTGCCACTCTGTGATTTCAGGGGCACTATCAGGTTGATCTTTAGAAACAGGCGCTTTGGGAGCAACTTCCCTGCCCTCCACATCGCTGGTGCTTTGGGGCAGACTCCCTTCCTGCAGTTTGTCCCGGGCTGTTTCATCAGCTGTCTCTGACATGGTTATCTCCAGCTGAACAGTGCACTCCGAGTGTTCTTCTGCCTCACGTGTGGCCTGTGTCAAGGGCTCACTCTTCCCAACAGAGGTGTCACTTTCCTTGGCTGTATGGTTGTCCTCTTTCACTGAATCCTGGTCCTCTTTCATTGTATCTTGGTCCTTCTTTGTTGTATCCTGGTCCTCTTTATGCTGCTCCTGCTTCACTGTATCCTGCTCCTCCTGTGCAGAGACTGGGCTGAAGGATTCAGATTTGTCTGTCGGGGCCAAATCCTCCGGCTCTTCACTGGCCTTATTCACAATACCCATCACTTCATTTGCTTGAACACTGTCCTCTGACTCCTCCACTGCTTCTGAGGGGCTGGGTTTTTTCCTACCTCTGGAGAACCTCACACAGGGCATCTTTACCCCAGAGCTCGCCCGTTTCTTTGGGAGGTCTTGGGCACAGCTCTCCTCAGCATCCACCTGCAGCTGCACTTGGGAATCAGAGGGCACCTTCTTCCGTGAGGAGGACTTCTGCCTTCTCTGAGGTCTGGCAAGGCTTTTGATGGCTGCCCAGGTTCCTTTGGAGGATCGTGATGGATTGGAAGCTTTCACCTCCTCTTGGTCAGTGCTAACACACTGGCTTTTCTCCTCTGAGGCTCCTTCGCACGCATCCTTCACAGCCAGCCCCTTCTTACCAGACTTCTTCCGCTTCTTAAAGCAGAGCATGGAGGGTTTTTTGGCTTGTTCCTCTGGTGGGGAACATGTGGCCCCTGTGCTGGGAGTCTCTGCCTCTCTTGGGTTCTCCATTTCAATTTCCTTAGCTGCCTTCACCATATTCTTTTCTTCTTTGTTGGTGTTGTGCTGCTGATTTTCCTGATCAATGCTTCAGACACAAGGACTGCAGAGATGCTCAAAGTGCATTTTTTTCCTCAAATAGATTTCCAAATAACATTAGTTGCTTTGTAATGAGCGTATGTGGCAGTGAGAAGAAGTTCTGCTGGAGCTGTCGCATCCACTTTATAACTCCCACTTTGCCTTATTACTCACTTTATCACCCCTCCAAGGAACCCCAGGTAGACGTGCAGTTGAACAGGCTTCTCCTTGGCTTTGCTGGCCTCAGTCTCTCTCATCTCTGGAGCAACTCACTTCCAGTTGTGCTTGGTCTAACTGTATAATAGCCAGTCCAACATACCTTTTTTTTCCCCCAAAGGATGACAAATCAAGCCAAGAATTAACAATTTTTATTCACCCCACGGACCTGGAAGGAACTTGCACTTTGTGAGCTCTCTGCAATTCCACATTGCCCAGGGAGCTTGATTAAAGCACAGTGGAACCAGCGGCTGTTTTCTGCCCCCCAGTGACAAGGCCAGATGCTGCTTTGCCTTGGCTTTGGTTTCTGCTTCAGTTCCCTTTGGGTGTTGCATGAAATTTGCTGCAAAGCATGACCGAGGCTTTCATCTTTTTATCTGGAACACAATAAATGAGTGATAAGACCCATAGAGAAATTTTTAAAAAGTACTAAAAAGTTTTTCCTCCCTAAACATTTCATTCTGGGAGGCAGACCAGGGCTGGATTCGCTATAGTACATTTTTTTCACTAATTAGCATCAATATCCAAAGGCAAAATAAGGCCATAAGATGTTCCATCAAGGAAACATCAAGGCCAGTGATGTTCCATCACAGAAGGTACTGTTTTGCTACTTGATGTGGTAAAAAGGGACTTTTTAAAATATAACTGCCCATATTATGGCGAATACTTATTACACAAGCACACACATATTTCCTTCTCCTACGATTTGCTAAATCCTTTCCCCACTGCTCCATATGCACTTATAGTTCCAGCTAGGGAAATTACACCCTGAGACAGCAGATATTTTTATCTTTAATGCACCATATGACAATATGCAAAAACAGAGAATACAAAAAGGAGGCTTGAGGAATACAAAAGCGAAATCACATGGCAAGAAGGGAGCTTATTTATACTACGTGCATGCCTCCCATGGCAACCTCAATTAACACCGTGTGTGCTCATCAAAGACATGATGTTGTAAGATGTGTGTCAACCTGAGCGGAAAAAAAAAAAAAAAAAAAAAAAAAGCTGTGCCTAGAAATATCATCAGAACCTTTTGGATAGAACGATACAAAACGGTGTTACCACAAACAGACCAACTTCTGCAGGACGGGCTCGGGGGCTCCGGGCAGGGCTTTACACGGCATTTCGTGCTCTGCTTTTCAGGAGGAGGGTGATTAAAGGGGGGTTCCGGGGCACGTTTCCCCCGCGGCACATCTGGCTTTTTAAAAAATTATGATGCTTTTAATATTTTAAGGGGAAACCGAGCGGAGCTGTCAGAGCCGTGCGAGCGCGCATCGCAGCCGCCGGTGCCCCGAGCGCATCCCGCAGCCCCGCCAAGTTTTGGGGGCGTCCGGGGGGGCGCGGCCGGACCCGCCCGGGCACGGGGAGCCCCCCACGGCCGGACCCCTTCCTCCGAGGGCAGCGACCGCGGGGGCGGCGGGACCCCGCATCTGCCGCCGGCCCCGCGGGTCCCCCCGAGGCGGAGCCGCCCCCAGCCCGGACCCCCGCGCCCCCCGCGCCCCCCGCGCCCTCACCTGCAGCCCGGCCCGGCCCGGCCCCGCTCCGCTCGGCGCGGCTGCGCTGCCGCCGCCGCCTCCGCCGCAGCCGCGCCCCCCGGGCCGGCGGGGAGGGCGCTGCCGGAGCCCCCCGCCCCCCGCCAGCCCCCGGCCCGCCCCCCGCCCCGGCCGGCACCTGCTCGCCGCCTCCTTCCTCCCGTGGGACGGCATCGCTCCCCGCCCGCCGATCAGCATCGCTTTCCCCCGGCGGGGAGCATCCCGCCCGGTGGTGGGGGAGCACCGCTCTCCCGGCGGGCAGCGGCGCTGCTGGTGGGGCAGAGTGACCTCCCGTCCCCTCCCAGGCTGTGCAGAGCAGCTGCGGACCCGAAAACCACCAACTTCAGCTCGAGGTGAAGGTGCTCCCAGAAATGGAGCCGCGGTTTGTAGTTGGGAGCCCGGAGCACGCCCCGCGGGGAGGAGGGACCGCTGGGGGTTCCTGGCTTGGTGGGAAAGGAGGGGAGCTTGCTCTTGGCAGCTGTTTTTTATGTGCTACCTAAAACCTTCACAGCTTTCAGCACTCGCTGTTGGAGGTGCTGCAGGAGCTACACCTTTGGAGGTGGAGATAAGGACAGCCAGCTCTTGGCTTCAAACTAATCCGTGCCCAAAACACCGGAGAAAGTGCCTCTTTCATCTGAGCCTTTCTTCTCTCTAAAGCAGCTGAGATCTGACTTTAAAAAAATCACGTCTCCAGCTGTGATGATTGATGGGAGAGCCTCCAGAAAAAGGACTACCCAGTGGAGCTGATGAACTACAGGAAACTGCAGTTGAGATGCCCGAACGTCCCCATTCATCTCCACGGGGAGCTGACGCCCACAGAGGCTTTACAGACATTAACTGCTTCACAGCGTGTTTGCACACGAGAAACTGAGCAAAGCAGCACTCTGAACTTGTGAGTCGCTTCCAGTGTAGGCCAGGCTTAGAAAAACACACATGGCCTCCCCCCTCCTCAGCTTCTTCACGGGAAGAAAGGTACAAAATGGATTAGCTGGGCTGAAATGCCAGCCAGGAGGGCAGAAAAAGTGCATTGAGCATCACAAGGAATTGCCTTTTTAAAAGCTCCCCTCTGAGATGTGTTTGCTCGCATTCACGCAGGATAATAAACTTCATTTGGAAACAGCTTCTCTCCTGAGGTGGGTGGTGGGTTCTAATTATGATCCACTGCTTTATTAAAGCCAAGTGAGGCCCTTCAATGCAAGGAGCTTTTCTCTCCTTGCAGCTGGAGGCAGGAGGGAGGGAAGCAGACAAGGAGGATGGTTAACTGTGAGGCTGTGGTGTGATGGAGGCAAGCTGCCATGAATCCTCTTGGGAGCACTTTGCATGGAATCCAGTTATTCCTGATGCTCCAGGGGCAGACAGCAGCACCAATGGCTGTGGTGAAAGGGAAATAAAAGGCAAGCAAAGGATCAGGTCAGAAGTTGGGTGAGCTGGACAGAAGATACTGGCTCAGCTGGATCCTGTTTTTTTTTCTGTGTGCTGGTGACATGCAGCAAGTCAACCAGCAACACCTTCTCCTCTTTCTTGTCCCCAGCACTACTTAACAACATAAATCTGTGTTATTTCTTACAGGATGCGATGCAGTGCTCTCACAACAGCACAGCATGGGGACGGATGGTCATAACTCCAGCTAAGGACCAGACCCACAAATAGCCCACAGAGAAGAAATTTGTACATAATTAGTTTTTTCTCTAAGCAACAGGAGGAGAAGAAAACCACTGAGTACTTAGTTAGAAGAAATTAAGTGGCCTCTGTGACCTATTTCATAGGACAAGACCTAGCTGGCACCCTTAGCTGCAAGGGAGAGTTATTAAAAAAAAACCTATTTATGTATCCATCCTGCAAGAGGAAAAAAGAGGTTGGAAGTGCAGGCTAGAAAACATTTCCCATTAATCTCTGGAGATGCCTGGGGCTAGTTTTTGGCCCTTGTGCTTTGTTGTTGTGCAGCAAACCCTTCAAAAGCTCGTGCCTGATCCGACGCTGTGCCTCACTGCAGGAGGGGGACTAGCAACCTCTTGAACCATCTCTCTCAAGCACATGGCTATGATCTCATGCTAAACTAAAAGGAGGCTAATCTTAGCATAAATTTGCACTTATCCCATCTTTCATAAGCATAAAATGAAGGTGGAACACAGAGCACTTGCAGGAAAGCAGTGTAGCAGGGAAGATTAAATGTAGGAACTGACAGCAGGCTTGGCAGCATCCGCTCTGGCACCCAGCTTCCAGGCAAGGCTGGGCCCAGGAGCTGCAGGTGAAGAGGGACCCTCAGCCAGGCTGGGGGGCTGGGCAGCAATGGGGGAACCCCTCCTGACCCCCTGCAAGGGGACCGAGCCTGCTCTCCTGGCTGCCAGGAAATCCTTGGCTGGGTAACATCAAAAGGAACATTTTAACGGGCTGTGAATGCATCTCAAATTAAAATATTTAAAGTGTTCTGTCTGCTTGTGTCACAACCAGGTAACTTTCATATAATTATTCTCCCCTCCTGAATAACTGAAGAGATAGAGATCTTTCTCTCCCTCTACATATACATATATATATATTCACACACAGTATCTGTGTACTACAGATGCTCCCTTACGTTGGTGCACACCTACATCCTGATCCTCCCAGTTCTCACCAAATTTGGAATGTTTTCAGATTCAGTTCTGATAGACGCAGATGGGCCTCACGACTGTTAATTCAGATATTTTGCAGTTAGATGCAAGTATCTCACATTCACAGAATAATTCAGGTAGTTTATTTCCTACAGACACCATACATCATCTAGGGAAGGAAACCAGATTAAAACACACACACCCTGGTGCATTGCAGGCTACTTATTACTGCAATAATCACTCCTACTTGTCAATACAATGATTGCTGTTGTGTGTAGTTAATCACAGAAATAAATTCTAATTCAGTAATCTCAGTGCATACATTAAAACCCAAAAAGCACTTGGAAGTATTTGCCAGTTTATTTGTATTAGTTAAAAAATTGGCAGCAATGCCATCTTCATCTTACAAAATTATTTTTGGCCTGCTGACAAAACCTGCTACAAATCACTTGCTCACTATTCATGTTGTCTCTGTTGATCAAAAAGGTGCCACGTGAAACAAGGCCTGTCAGTGGTGTAACTGCACTTATGGTTGAGCAGGAAATGGTTCAAAGGACACATCTGGTAGAAGCCACAGGTATGGGCCAGAGAGCCAGTCCCTCCAGATCTGCTATCCAGAGCTTTCATTCCTTTGACAGAACACAGTAGCTGCAGCTGGGCTTGGGCTCTCTGATGTGGCTGAGGTGCCTGCAGGAACAACTCCCAGCAGAAAGCAGGGTAAGCACTTGTGGAGAGCGCTGGGAAGCCAAGGGGGATCCTCCCTGCTCCTCTGGAATGGCACTGGAGCAGTGCCTAGGCACAGCAGGTTCTCCCGTGGTGAGAGAAGAGGAACAGAGGATTCCACGTGGCAAATGGGAAACTGCAGCCAGAAGACTTCTAAAGATAACACATGCTGCAAAACCCCGATGGTTAAGACAATTAAGTCCCAAGACTGTTTCAAACAGCTCCAGCTTTAGGATTTTTAATAATTAAAATCATGTCACTGAATCAAAAAAGATCATTAAACTCAACTTTCTGTATTCTGCTTCAGCTACAATTATGAAGCGGGAGGTCTGCAGAAGAAGATTGCTTTATATGCTTAGTATCAACTAGCTTGGAACACAGCACTTTAAAAATTATTACAGATTAAAAGTTACTGGTTGATTCTTCAGCACTCCTCCTTCCAGTCACTTCTTGCACTATATTCTCACTGATATCTTGTTCAGACTTAAGAAAAAAAGATCAGAGCACAGTTCCATTTACATGACTCATCAGGTGTTCTTCTGGGAGCTAAAAACAAAAATAAAACTTAATTACTATTATATAGTACTGCAGGCAACTTTCAGGCTGAATTATAATAAAATGTCATTTGGAAACATATGGCATAATATGGGATTGGCTTAACTCCATTATCTCAAGATCTTTGGAAAAATAAAGCCCAAATATTGAAGGCCTTCAAGAAGGCACCAACCTTTGGTTAATCATTCCTTTCAGAAGAGCCCATTCACTTCTCCTGACACTGGGTCCAGGTCGATATCATAGAAGCAGGGTCTTGTAGGAAGTCCTGGCATAGTGCTCATCTGGACAACAAGAGAGAGAATGTTAAAGTGGCAGTGGCAGCATTTTGGGCACAAGATCCAACACTGAAGACTTGGATGGCAATAGCTCCCTGAACACCAACAGACCAGAGAATGATGGTCATGGACTGCGTTGAAGCACCCCATGAGAACTACAAACTCCTGGCTCAGTAGACAGATATGAAGTTTTTTCTTTTTATGAGGACTAAGTTTGGTTTCTGCAGCTGCAAGTAACTCAGCCCAAGATTTGGCAAAGTACTTGGCTATGCATCTGACCAGCTCACTGTTGGAGGAGTGTTCATGGACTCTGCTGTGATGAGACAATTACTTCTGAAGTTTTTGAGTACTAAAGTGAAGATACAAATTTTAATACAACTTTGCCAGCTGTAATGTCTCTTGATTACAATTCTTTGAGAATCTAGAACTAGACATGTTAAATCATTAGGAATAATTACTGGAACACACTCAGAAGGACTGCTCAGAACTGAAGCTCACAAAGCAGCTGCCAGCACTACTGCCTCAGGCCAGTCCTCTGCACTTGTCCCACTGCTGAGAACCCAGTTTCAGGCATGCAGAACACAAGGCTGGCAGGAACTACACCTGGCCTGATTTATTCTTGCAGCTGACAGCATTTCCCCTCCCCTAAGGCAGCATTTAGCCCAGCAGCACACACAAAGGCTGAACACAGACTCTACAAGGGTCCGTGACCATGTTTGGAACTTTGTGTCAGTGGTCATTGAGTGCTTTTATAAAAAGGGAGAACTTGAAAGGTCTCATTCTCTATCTGCATCACCCTGCCTCAGCTTTCACAGTCAGTATTGTTATGCCTGTCTCCATTAGATTAAACATCTCTTTGGCAACCTGGTATTTTCTCCCTGAGCAAGTATTTTGCACGCTAATCAAATTATCTCCCCATCTTCCTTTTGATAACAAGCTAAGCAGCAAGAAGGCAAAGCTCTGTTGGTGAAGTCTTTTCTGCAGTTCTCAAAACTGTTCAGGGAGCTTCTGGAGTCCCAGCCCTTTTTCCTTAGCCTTTTACAAGTTCTAACACCAGTCCCACGTGTACTGTACCACTGCAAGTCTTTCATGGGTTATGCAAAAGTAAAAATCACTTAAAGTCCCCTCTTTGTAATGAATTTTGGGGCTGTATTACCTTTTTATGAGAGCCACTGTCTTCCCAGAGAAGACGGGGGTCACAGAGGGGATCCCCATTCCTTCGTGCTCAGCTGTATAAATATTTTGCTCTCAAGAACATCTCAAGAAAGTATTAAGAGGTTCAAAGTGCCCAGAGGGGTTTTCCTGTTCTCAGCTCCCAGTCTCTGGCCACGAAGAGCAAGAAACTTCTTATTTATTTATGTACCACTGGAGAATAATGGAGCTTTGCAGATCTCCACCTCCAGATTCAGAGGGCCACAGCAGGAGCTCAGAGAGTGACATTCAATAGAGTAGGAGGTGCTGAATATGTGCCTGACTTTGCCATTTCTTGCACTTTCTATTTTGAAATGAACAGTCAATTTTTCCTCCTTTCCTATCCAGTGGGCAGCCCACAGTGGCTACTCTGCTATCTATTACTTCAAGGCAGTCTACTTAAACCCCAAATTTCCCTGCAGTGCAGAATAATTTTCATCCAGGCTACTAATTTGCTGTACAAGTGTCTACAATGCTTCATGTAGTTATTTTCAGAGCTGAGAACTTTTTCTCATTTATCCTCCTCCCCTTTAATACCACATGTGCTCGAAAAGAACACAGGGCAATTCACACTATTTACTTACAAGAAAAACTTAGACCACCCGGGTATAATCAAACCCCTTGCCAGATTTCAAACATATATTATTTGTTGCTCTTGTGGATCTTTCAAAATAAATGCCATTTAGGATCTAAAATAACAAGAGCTGAATATCAGAATTGTTTTCAATTCAGCAGCAGAACCAGAAAAGAAACCAAATCAATCTGAGTTAAATTATTTATTTCATTTAAATCTAGATAACCTTTGAAATTATATTTCCTTTAAAATCTTACAGTATTTAATGAAGGTACAACAATTTCAACTTTATGCCAGAAAGGAAAATTCCAAAATTCAGAATCTGAGAAAAAAATAAAGCATGATGTGCCTTTGTGATTAACTTCAGACAACAAGAATAGGCACACACCAGTGGTTAATTTCACCTCACATTTATCCTAAAAGCTTCTGCATAGAGCTACATATTTCTTGTATTTTCAGCTTACAGTTCAATAGCTGCTGCCTAAAATTTATTCTGAGGCTAACACATTCCCTGCTGAATGGGTTTAAAATAGTGATCTGATTCAAAATGCCCCAAATTGTTTCTCAAAAGGACATCCATCCCCTGGGTTTTAGTCACCACAGAAGAGTGATCACCTCCCAGCCAGAAGACTTATTGTTAACTCTGGCAGAATTAACACCATGATTTGCTACACGGCCAAGAAAACATTAGGAAATGGGTACAGGAGCAGAAAGGAAAAAGTCCAACTCCATAGAAACTGAAGACACCAGAAAAAGAGCCAGAACGTTAGTTTTAATGTCTGAAAACATCCCTCTCTTGTTTACTCATTAATGCAGTGTACCCTTTCCTTCTCCAATGCTTATGGAATAAATTATAAAATAAATCATTGTTTGGATTAAATCTTGGCTTGCAAAAAATGCCGTTTATAACAGGAACAGGCATGCTATCTTTCATTCTATCCCAAAACACACATTAGTCTTTAGAACATGGATGAGCCAGACTTTAATCAGGATGTGGTTACCTTATTTATGCTGGATAATCTGGAAACCTTAGCTACCTTTTTGAAAAAAGAATTAAAACAAAAAAGCAGCCAGTATTTGTCTCTACCTAGCATTTGAAGGAAGAGAGGATCAACTCTTAAATCAGCAAACTTCATCAACTGAGTCATGCACCCCAATGCTTCTGAAACTTTATTATGGCAAACGTGTTGCCATGAAGACCTCAGAAAAAGGTTCAGGGCTACTAAACATGAAATAGAACTGCTTGCTCCAACTGCCTCATGCCTTAAGGTAATCTAACTAGTTACTCAACATTTGCCCAGAAGAGATTCCCCAGGTAAGATTTCCAGTGGATCCTTTCATCCTAGTGCTGTTTCTAGGGATGCAAACCCGAATGTGGGTTCATTTTGCAGATAGCTCCTCTTTCTGCCAGGCAATTCATAACAAAGCTGTTCCAGGATCCTGTTTCCATTGTTGCTACTCTCTTCCCTCTCAGCTGACATTATGCCACTCATATCAAAGAACAGAAACTAAAAACTCAAGGGC